AATAGTAACATTTTAAACAAGTAACTCTGAGTACACATTTCACCACGTCAAAGATTTTAAACATGAATACAAAACTAAATCTGAATAAAGTGCAAAGTCAATACAATTCTGCTTTTAAGCCTTTACAAAAATGGGTTTTCAAATGTTTTACCAAATTAACCATTTTACTTGGATTATAGGTGGAATTAAAAATGTTAAACTCTTGTGCAAAGGGGAACATGCTTGCGTAACATCTTATGAACTGAGGTAGCCTTTATCATTTACATCATTAATCTGGTCAAAAGACTAACATGGAACCCTTCAATGGCTTCGACAGGTAAATTGTCTAAAAAGAATGAGTGTCCCTACAGTTCTTTTATTTGGAAGCTTTAATGATTAGACTAAAAAAAACTAGCATGGTGGCACTAACACTTGTTTAAAACAAGTAATGATGAACAGGAAAGTTTCTGTAGAAGAGTTAAAGATTTTCCAGTCTGCAAATTTCACCGGCATTACGCTTGTTCACATTATGTTTGCATTTTAAAGACGGCTACTAACTGAACTTCAGCAGTAAAACAAACTTTTAGCTGCTAAATAAGAATATATATTTTTTCCATCTAACCAAAAATAGAGCACCTGCACCAGTTTTACACAACTAGTTGATTTTTCAGTGTTTGAATTCTCGGCTTCGACTCAGTACTTCCCAAATGAAAAAAAAACAAACAAACTGTTGAATGAACAGGAGGGTATTTCTGATTTTCTCCATATGTGAGCCCAAAAAGGAGACTCACAGCTTCTGGCAGGGTTATCAGCTTTTCCATAACAACTTCACCCTCACTGACGACTTTCAGGCTCGTTGGGTGAAGATCTGACGTTGGGGGAGACACACCTTCAGGATTCAGCAACAAGGTCCCAATGTTCATTTGGCCAAAGGACTCATCACCATCCTAAAGATGAACAAAAATGAATGCCATAAATATAACCATTAGGGAATAAAATTGCTGAACTACAACAGACCACCATCAAGAATGACAGAACAGGAATTGTATAAAATGCAGTTTATGCTAACTTAATGATAACTACTATTTGGTCAAGGGTTTCCAAAATTTCTAACAATAAACATTTTGAAATCAGTATTGGTCTAAGAACTATGTGAGGGATCTTCTTGGTCCATTCTGTCACTTTTTGACTGAAATGGGAAAACTTTTAAATTGGTTGTTTATATATACTATTATTTAATATGGAACCGTCACAGTCATCACTGCACATAAACACAGGGTTAGTCAGGATTACTTGAGACTGTGTTTCCTATTCAGCAGACAGTGGGCAAACAGTGAAATGGTTAATAATTGGTTTTAGAATTTCAGATAAACTGGGTGCTTAATAAGTTATACAAATATTACACAGGATCATATTATTAAAATATAACTCTAAAAAGGCTCCTGAAATAAACCCTTACAGAGCCTTCTCTTCATCCCTACCTGGCAACTCCCAGGCTTACTACTAATAAAATTACAAACAAATATGACTGCTTTGAACGAATAAAACGTACATTGGACATGTAAACGTATAATAATTACATAAACACTCATTTTAAACACAACAGATGACACAACCAACTTTTAATATCCCATGCGATCGATCATCTGCCCCTTCAGGTGAAGCATTTCTGCTTCTACCATTAAAAACATCTCCACCCCTAAAAGAGTGGCGGGGTGAGTGCCTGGAGGTTTCACATTGTGGAGTTGGGCATTCAGCAGAGAAAAGTCTGCTCAGAACCGTCAAGTACAGGAGGTGCGAGTGTTTACAGATGTAGGTAAACATAGATGTTTAACAATCCGTTAAAATATACCAAAATGCAGGAAATCTACTTTATTCAAAATTTTTGGGGGGAGGATCCCAAGACACACCTCTGCCCCCCAGCCGGCCAACCTGCTATTTGTATTCCGGCATTGATCAGTTTACAATTTAACCCCTGGTCAAGTCTAAAGTCATAATAATAACTCGAGTCCAAGCAACGCCGGATTAACCATATGGGCAACTGCACAGGGGCCCTGGATCTCTAAGGGGCCCAGGGCAGTGAGGGCACAAGCAGAATATCTGGTTATCTCCTGCTTTACTTGGAGCTCTGCGCTGCACAGAAATTGCTGCTCTTCCACTGCATTAGTATGAGGTGCAGCCCCGCCCCCTCCCAGCGCCGCTGCTGCAGCTCTCGTTTTTTTTTTTTTCAATCGGATCCTTGACGGCGCGACCTGCCAATCAACTCAGAAGGCGTGTCAGTAACTGACCAATCGACGACCTCAATTTGTCCCGAAGGTAAACGCCCCTTACCTGATGACAAGCTCATCAGTTGTTGTTTTTTTTCTTGAGAAACTTATTGTTTTAATTAAAACAATAAGTTTGTATCTGTTGTGAGATGATTTTAGCAGTTTTGCAGATTTTTAATCTACTTAATGAAGAATAGTATGACTTAAAATCGTTAATTATGGTATGGTATAAAGTTTATTCATTTTAAAAAATACAAAACAATTCCATAACAATATAAAAAAAAAATACAAGAGATTTAAAATGAAATGCAGCAGAAAGAAGAAAAAATCTTATTATATCTGCCCCTTTTTTCAAACAATTAGTTCAATCATAATAATCTTCAAGTAACAGAACAAAATGAATAACTTTCTAATTTTTCTAATTCGAATACAAAACACACTAAGCTACTTCATATATATATATTTTTTTAACAATTCAGCTTTGATCTTTTTCTTAAATGTACACATTGACTTGGCATTTTTAACATCACTCTCTAGACCATTCCACAATCCAACTCCTTGGATTGAGGTAGACCTTCCCTTCAGACTAGTTCTGAATTTTGGTTTGACAAATATCTCTATCCCCTTAAGATTATAACAACTTTGTCTTTTAACGAAATTTCTTTGGATATTTAATGGTAATGTGTTATTTTAAGCCCTACATACATGATAAAATACTATAAAAATCATGGAACTTCAATAACTTCAGTTGATAAAATAATGTGCTTGATGGGTGACAGTAATGCTTTCTGGTGATAATTCTTATAGCTCTTTTCTGTAAAATAAAAATAGGTTTTGTAAATGTTTTACACGCTTTCCCCCAAACATCAATGCAATAGATTAAATGTGGAACAATGATTGTGTTATACAACATGTACAGAGCTTTATCATTTAATAATTCCCTGACTTTGTATAGTACTGCAATAGATTTAGATATTTTTATTCTTACAGAATTTATGTGATTTTTCCATGTTAGCTGTTCCTCAGTGATTACACCCAAAAATGTAATCTCATTAACTCTACAAATCTCAACACCCTCAATTTTAAATGGATCATCAACAGTTCTCTTTTTGTTACTAAATATCATGTATTTAGTTTTATCTAAATTTAATGATAATTTATTAAGTTCAAACCAAGTTTGTATTTTATCAAATTCTGTCTTCATAAATTCCAACATCCATTTTACATCTTTACCCAAACAAAAAAATGTGGTGTCATCTGCAAAAAGGACACATTTGAGGAGTCCTGATACATTCACTAAGTCATTCACATATAAAATAAATCACTTTGGTCCAAAAGAAGGAATGTTAAGTTTGAGATTAATCCAGTTTCTGATGTTTGACCAAACACTTTGCATTGACATGAAAAAAAAAATAAAAATAGCTCGAGGGGTTCATCTTCTGATTTACAAAAGGCACACAAATCAACATAAAATTTAAATATTCTTTGCAGAAACATGGCTACAGGATATATCTTATTTATTATTTTAAAATGATTCTCCTTCACTTTAGCAGATTTAGGCCATTTGAAAAATTTAGAATGAGCAGAAGTCATTCTGGTTTTATGATTTATTTTGGGAGGTTTCTTGAAAGAATCTTTGTTATAATCAGTAAATCCTTTGTTGCAAACATTCATTGATAATCTTGTTGCATTTGAAGTCGACTAAGTTACAGTGATTTAATTTTAATGTGGGCATCAAATCGTCACCTTTGAATTTACAATATTTTAAATTAATTGAATCAGCTGTTGGTCAGGTTACTTCTTTTTGTGCCATTAGCTCTAAAATAGTTACTGAATCAAGTGTTTACTTCCATCCATCTGCGGGGGTAGCATTCTAAGTAGGGAGGCCCAGACTTCCCTCTCCCCAGACACTTGGACCAGCTCCTCCAGGGGACTCCCAAGGTTTTCCAAGTGTTTACTTATGTAGGTAAAACTAGATGTTAAACAACCATTAAAATACACCAGAATGCAGGAAATGGCATCTACTTTTTTCAAAATTTTCTGGGGGAGGACCCCCAGATCCCTCATCAGTGTGTGCCCCTCCACACACATTAGTAATTCTGACACCAGTGGTAAACACTTTACTAAACAAGTACACATACGGTGTCATGTGGTGTTCAAAGTGTGTTCAACTTAATTCAGTCTTGATGATTTGTGTCAATGAACATTTGGAGTTTATACATCAAAATACACTTGATAGTTGGACTGTCCAAGTCATGTGACTTGAGTCCACACCACTGGTTTTTAAACTCATGTGAGGTGGGATAACTTTGAAAGCAGGACTGTTTTAGATTCCACATAGAAAGGAAGATATAGCACAATAACGACCCACATGACTCCACACGTCATAAACCCTTGAGCAACATCCACCTGTTTATGTTACTCAACTCAACATGTAATTTCATGACATTGCGTAATAAATACGAAATGTAAAACCTAAATGCACAAACGGACATACAAACAGAACACAAAAGATAATAGCATGTTAGGGTCATATGGAACAGTTTTAGCTCACTACACCGGAAATGACGTCACTGTGGTTTCGCCTCCACCTTTTGTCCATCACAAGGTGGGGGTTGTCCACTGCACTGTAATTTAAATAAGGGATGCCCTGTAATCGTCGCTAAAACCCTGCGAACAGCGATCGATTTTAGAAATGAAAAATGACCTGCCCGCACCCGCAGGCCTGTTTTCAGCCGGACACTAGCCGCGAACGGATACTAACCGGAGGGCGCGAGGCACTTTGAGTGACTGGCGGGCTCGCGCCGAGCTAACGTTACGCAGCTGTCAGTAACCGAAGCTAATCGGCTAGCTAGCGTTAGCTGAAGCTACTGGTCTTCTCCGGCCGCTCCGCATGAGGTTGACTGACGTTGTGCGGAGAGAAACCCGCCCGGTAAGCACCCCCCCGCAGGCACTGAAATGGACAGAGAGGAAGCGGAGCGGCTCGTGGAGAAGGCGAAGCTGTGTTTACGGTCGGGACGGACGGACCGAGCTCTGCAGCTGCTGTTCGAGGCGCAGAACATTTATCCCACCACCCGGGCCAGAGGTAAAATTAGCTGACGCACATTCTGCAATGACAGCATGACTTGCTGAATAAGTAACTTCCTACCGTCCTGTGTCTGGTGCTGGAAATTAATTTCCAGATTAATGTAGATAAGCAAACAGGCGTTAATCTTTTCCATGTAAATTAAAGCAAAATAAATCAATAAGCTAGAGAAGTGGAGCCATGACAGAAATTAGGATGTACAGGTAGTTGGAATCAAACGTTACGGTTGACAGCTTGGATTATTTTGGTGAGTCAGCATTGTCCACCGCACGTATCAAAATATTAAATATTCATCCATCCGTCTTCTACTGCTTAAAACGTAGTCAGGTCACAGAGGCAACAGGTCCATAAGAGAAACCCAGACCTCCCTCTCTCCAGCGGCACGTTCCATGTTGTTCTGGGGATCTCGAGGCGTTCCCAGGCCAGAGAAGATACACCATCCCTCCAGCAAATTTTGGGTCTTCCCCGGGGCCTCCTACCAATGGAACATGCCCAGAAAACCTCTAAAGGGAGACGTCCAGGAGGCATCCTAATCAGATGCCTGAGCTACCTCAACCGACTCTTTTCGATGCAGTGGAGCAGCAGCTCTACTCCGAGCTCCCTCCAGATGACGGATCTCCTCACCCTGTCTCTTAAGGCTGAGCTCGGCCGTCCTGTGAATGAAGCGCATTTTGGCCGCTCGTATCCAGGATCTTGTTCTTTTGGTCATGATCCAAACTTCACAACCATAGGTGAGGGTTTGCACGTAGACAGAGCAGTAAATCACATTTCGCCTTTCAACTCAGCTCTTTCTTCACCACAACCGACTGAAGCAACGCCCTCATTACTGAGGATGAGGCCCCAATCTGTCGGTCCATCTTCCACTTGGTCTTACCATCATTCGTGAACAAGACACCCAGATACTTGAACTCTTCCAACTCAGGCAAAGTACCCCCCCGACCCAGCGCGGGCCACCTACTTCTGGTTAAGAACCATGACCTCAGAATTGGAGGAACTGACTCTCATTCAAACTACTTGACACTCGACTGCGAACTTCCCAAGTGCACGCTGAAGGTCATGGCCTGAAGAAACTAGCAGAACCACATCATCTGCATAAAGCAGAGATGAGACCTCGATGTTTCCAAACCAGACACCCTCCTCTCCACAACTGCCTCTCAAGATCCTGGCCATGAAAACCACAAACGGGATTAGAGACAAGGGTGGAGTCCAACCCACACTCAGAATGAGCTGAACTTTGTGCCAAGAAAGCGGACACAGCTCCTGCTTTGGTTCTACAGGGACTGGAAATATTAACCAGGAAGGAAGAATAGTTGATATATTTACCATCTGTGTGTGCAACTAAAACCTTTGGTTAATGTTTGACTACAGACCTTTCTGTTGCTGTTCGTAGTGCTAATAGATTCCATACAGAAGAATGGAGGCAGTGCATCCTCAGAAGCAAACCACGTCCCTCCACCCACGGGCTGGAGAGACGAGGACATCGGAAACCAGGAGGCGAGGAACGAAACGAGCGACGAAAAGAAGACCTACACCGAAGAGCAGCGCCAGAGTGTTCTCAGGTGCACGTTTGCCGTTTACTGCTTTGACTGACATGTGCTCTAACAACAAATCCAAACAGTCTGATTATTTAGTTTTTGAGTTTAGGGCTTCAACCCTGTTCTCTCTTAGTGTTTGCTGTTGCTGTTCAGGTCTATTGTAGAAAACGCACATGCATAGACAAAAGCTACTGATGGAAGTGGAGCAATACATTGACAAGAGGAAAATCACCAATCAGAACTGCATGACAAGCTCCTCTCCAAATGTTCAGGGTAGTTGTACCTCCCATGTTGGGGGTTCATCTGTTCTGTTCTTGGTTCCTCAAATCAAGGCGGAGGTCAAAGAAAGACTCCACAAGGGATGTCCTGCTCACAAATACAGCTCTTTCAGCAGAAACAGATATGTTCACTGTCAGCTGAGTGTAAATTCTTCCCACTTACTGTACTTTTCTTTAAATTAACAGCTTTGTTTAGTGGATGCTATGTAACTGGCTGGTTAAAGAGAGTTTCTGTAACAGTGAACAGGCTTTTGTTAGGTTTGTCTCATAACATCCATCGTTCTTTGTTTTTGCAGGATAAAGAATTGCAAGGACTTTTATGAAATCCTTGGTGTCACCAAAAATGCTAGTGATGAAGATCTGAAAAAGGCCTACAGGAAGTTGGCGCTGAAGTTTCACCCAGACAAGAACTTTGCCCCAGGAGCCACAGATGCTTTCAAAGGTACGAGTAAAGGAGAGAGACAATGGCAAAATAATCTCTGTTGTCCTTTCATGTTATGACATTAAACTAGCAATGCACATCACCCTGCCGTGCACGACAAAGTCTTCAACAAGCATCTCATAGAGTTTGTTAGTATGTGATGAGGATAAGCTGCAGCCACACAGTATTTTAGCTTGTTATTTGTAAAATTGGCAAGTTACAGCCATGCATGTGTCTGCTAAAACCATTTGGCCAAATGGCTTTCTCATTTTCCAGACAGGGAATCTGAACTCTGATCTGTTGAATAAAATACTATCTTTTTTTATATTTTGACATGTAGTCAAGTCACATTTATTTATATAGCACATTTAAAACAGTAACTGTTATCAAAGTGCTTACCAAAAAAGACACCAAAAGATGTACATGTATTAATCTTATTATTCTAGTATCATTGAGTCCATGTCTTGCTTCAACAGTGTACACAGTACATGTATCCTTACTGACTGGCTCTGGTGGCTTTTTAATATTTGATGGTATTCAACAACGTTGATTACGGTATTAGGAATAATTGCTGTATGAACGTACTGTAGTCAGAGCCAGAGAGTTTTATTTGTCATACCCACCACATGTGGTACATGTGGTGGAATGAGATTATGTTCACAGGGTCCCACAATAAAATGTAAAAGAAAAACAGCAATATGAATTAAGTATGAACTACTGTAGGCTACAGTATACTCCTCTGGTTCTGAGCAGTTGGAGTGACTGAAATATCTCCTAGAATTTCAGAATTTAATCAGAGGAAAATCTGGGAAAATTCAGGGAATTTTGTTTTCATGAAATGCTGGGAGCCCTGGAGAGGTAATCAGTTGTAGATGTGTATCCAGTGGTTACTTCCCGAGATTTTCATTAAAATACATTTATTAATGCATGGGATATTTTGCAAACAGAAAAACAAAATAAGCATCCAAACATGGGCAAATCACATGATCGCCTTCCTCTTGTTGCAATGGGCAATAAATAAAAAATCACAATGATCACAATAAAGATATTTTCCTTGTTTAGCTTCAGTATTCAGCTCAGTCAGCAGTTGCAACACATCCTGGATGGGATGTAGTCACAGAACGATACTTTAAACAGCCCAAATTACCTTAATTTCTAGTAGAAGACATATTTGCAGTAACTTAAATCTGATTGCAGAAATTACCCAATTTTTCCAAAGTTAAATGTAGATTTCCTGGTCCTAGTGGCTCCTGGTACACAAATTATAACTGGTTTAAAGTTTTACACAGTTTGAACACCACCATTTGTCTGTCCAGTCAAAGCTGCATTAAGATCAGGAGCTGGTAGTACAGCAAATGTTCAGCAGCCACTATGTTACCAATAAAACTCTTTAAGAACATTGTCCAGCTCAGAGCTAACGAGCTCCGCTCCTTCCTACAGCAATAGGCAACGCGTATGCAGTGCTGAGCAACCCAGAGAAGAGGCAGCAGTACGATCAGTACGGAGATCAGTGTTCAGCTGCAGCCACACCCCAACACTCCGGCCACGGTCGCTCCGGACACTACCGGAGCTTCTACAGAGACTTCGAGGCCGACATTTCCCCCGAAGAACTCTTCAACATTTTCTTCGGAGGCAGGTTTCCCACTGGTGAGTTACTTATACCTGAACATTCTGACTCACAGACAGATACGTCCTCTTGTCAGTTAGCGTAAAATGAAACATTGACTGTGACTGCAGGAAACGTTCACGTGTACACCAACCAGGGAGCCTCATACTCTCAGTTCTACCAGCCTCGACGTCGACGTGCTTATGAGAGGCGCGAGGAGGTGGTGGAGGACAACCAGAGTCAGGTCAGTGACTCATGAAGATGAGGACGACACCCTGATAAACACCTGTGTCGTCTTCTGAACATGCAGCACAACAAGCCCAGGGAAACTTTTTTTTTTCAACAAATGACTCCTTATTTCCAAATAATGTATAATCTGGTGATTTTCTTCCAACAGAACACCTTCACAGCTCTCCTGCAGCTCCTCCCTGTGCTGGTGTTGATCCTCATATCAGTATTTACTCAGATGATGGCCACTAACCCCCCCTACAGTCTCTTCTACAAGCCGTGAGTCTACCATCAACCTTACATGGCCTTTAAACTAATCCCCCGGTTCCACCACAAGAAGCACCTTAAATCCTTTTGATTTTTCTGCTTTTGGTATTAGAGCCATGGGGCTGGTGGTGTCTAGAGAAACGCAACACATGGGTGTACCGTACTACGTGGATAAAAGCTTTGAGAAGGAATACCGTGGAACCGCGCTAGAGGAGTTGGAGAAAACCATTGAGAGCGACTACATCGAGCATCTGCAGAGCAGCTGCTGGAAGGAGAAACAGCAAAGTAAGCAAACAGACTTATTTGGTCTGGTTGGAAAAAAAAAGATATATCTATACCGTACTTACTGCTGTACATGTCGCATCAGTCCAAAAATGTCTAATAAAGTGAAAAAAAAAACAAATAAGTCGCTTCGTTGTATAAGTCGTATCTATTATGTGTCACCGCTGACCACCCGGAAACGTGGGCTGGTGTTGTGCCAAAAATTGATTGTCTGCCAAATGGCGGCCACAGGAGCATGCACAGGAGGACTTTAACAAGAATTTAACAAGATTAACAGTTAAAAACAATTATTTGTTTGCTCAACATTATAGTAAAGGTGTGTCTCTGTTGAACTTTTTTTAATAAATGCACTTTAATGGTCAAATCAGCTGCATTTCACCTAGTCAGCGAAATGCAGCTGATTTGACGTTTGCTCCAGGAGTTCCGGAGTGAGACAAAGGTGGCTTTTTATGGCAAGCCAAGTGTCTCATTAATAGCCACTTTGCTTGCCATTTTAGGCGGGGGCCCTCTAGTGGCTGAAAATGGTAGTGTTCAACATTTTCCATGTCAGAATGAATGAAATCGTCATATCTCAGCCAAAAATTGGGTTATAAATATGGGGGGAAAAAACGTATATTCGTCACTTCGCTGTATAAGTTGCAGAACTTGCAAATTTATGCAAAGAGGTGCGACTTATACAGCAAAAAATATGGTAAATACATCTGTCAGGTTAACGTGTTATTGTATTATAATTTTGGTAACGAGCCACTGACATCACAATTTTCAGTATTAAATGTTCCTCAGTTGGACGTGCACAATCAACAGTATTTTGTGCACAAACTAAACATGGTTTGTCAGAAATCTCTGCGAGGCACCGACAGGCAGTTTGTGTAACTCCTAGACTAATTCCACGTAATCCTCACAGCTAGAATGCTCTTAACAGGCTGCTGACTGATGCTTCATAAAAGAAATGCTAATAAGATGTAGAAAAAGAAGTAATATACACTTCTTGTTTTCCAGAGTCCGACTTGGCGAACCTGGGCCAGCTTTACCGGGATGAACGGTTAAAGCAGAAGGCTGAGTCGATGAGGCTGGACAACTGTGAGAAACTGCATCGACTGGTGGGGCGTCAAAAAGTCAAATGAGAACTGTTTGGGAGGAGAAGGTGTTTCTTTTGTGTAATTTACCCAATCTGGCTACCTTTTTGCTTTTAAAGACATTTTTGGGGGGTGTACGGTGCAGTCAGTGGTAAATTATACCGCAGGAAACCATGTGCCTTCTCTTGGATGGTAGGAGACAGAGTTAGCTGCCAGCGCTGGCTGTGGCGCTAGCAGCATGAAGTGCAAACTCACTGTGCGATGTGAAGAATAGCCTCCAAAGTTTCTTATAGAAATGGCGTATCGTATGCAGGCTCCCTTTGGGGTTACACAGGTGGTTGTATGTTTCACACATACACATGAAGTTCTTAGTTTGTTTCACCTTTGGATGCTTGTTTTTGTTTGTCTTTGCTGAAAGTTTAGATATATTTATTTGGTAGTTAATGGAGTGAAGCTGTTAGTTGAACATCTTGGCTCTTTTATTTATTTGTTTGTTAGGAAACAAGTACAATGACATGATAAATGTTTAAACAGATCCGAACACATCTGAGATTACCTTTGCCACGGAACAAATGTTGGATTATTTATCTGCTGTAGAAGAGTCATTAAAGGTGGTATCTCTCGGGGCTGTGACTTTTCACTAGCTGTGGACTCAAAAGTGGTGGAAAATGTGAGGAAATTGGCTCATTGTAGTTGCAGTCTAAATTAATTCTTTGTGTTTGTGAACAGCAAGCCTCGTTTAGAGTGGCTACTTTGAAATTGATTGCCTTTTTTCATGTGCAAAACTATTTTAGCCACACAGTTTATTTTCTGGCCCACGTTGTACCTGCTTTGAACCCACCGTGACGGCCATCCTAATTCACCTGAGTGCACTTTTAACATAAAATTGCAACAGAGCTTTAGGGCCACGTAAAAAAAAAAAGAGGAAAAAAAACATAGAATTACAAGAATAAAGTCATACAAGACTTTTTTTTTTTTTTTTGCAGCTCTCTTTTATTTATTTATGTTTTTTCTACTAGTCAGATCCACGACACGACCTGTCAATCAATCCAGTAGCGTGTCAGCAAATGACCAATCCGAAGCTAAACGCGTTGTATGGTCCGAACTCCGACACATTAAAGCAGGTTTACGCATTTTAACTGTGGTAAAATGAAGAATATTGAGCATCTTGTTAAGTTATGTTTGGTATTTTCTTAGCGTGGCCCTAAAGCTCCGTTGTGTAAAAGGCTAATCTAGAGCAGTTTTTAAAGGCTTGTCGATCATCTGTTTGGTTTTTAAGCCTTGGAGCTTTTCAGCTGTAGCACTCCTGAGATGAGTTGGAGACACTTGTGAAGACTGTCCTGCTCAGATGTTTTCAACAATCAAGCTACAAGACTGTTGAGCCACCACCAACACTCTAAGTCTGTGTCTCCAGCTAGTCCCGAGCTGTTAGAGCTACAGTCCAGTGAGATGACCACCTTACAACTCAAGACACATCCGGTAATCGGACGTCCTGCGACGTCAACATGAGATGCCTGCTGGTTGCATCATTTTGCTCCTGAGGATGCAGTTTCAGTAAATCATGATGCAGTTTGTTTAAATAGATTTCCTGCTGCTACTCCTGTGATCATGTATGATGTTTGATAGTTACCCAGAGCTCAGATACAGGCAGTGAAAGGCAGCAGGGCCTTCAGTGACTCATTCTAATCACACATTTCATCATCATTTTTATAAATTAGGTTTTCCTCTCAAATTTGCAGTCTTTTATTTTTAATTCCTGCACTCTTATTTTGTACAGATCCTTTTTTAAAAAGAAGATTTTACTCTGAAACTAAAATAGACTAACCTGTTTTTTTTTTTTAATTTCCACAGCTGGAAACTAAATCAGGTCATTCTGATTAGGATGCTGACATCGTTAAACTTTTGGTTAATGTTTTTCTTACTAATCCCAAACCATCCGTCATGTTTCCTGACGGTGAAACTGACCGTGCACCACGTCTCCCAGACTGTGATCAGACGTGCAGACAATTCAGGTTCATCTGCAGTACTTTTCTGTTTCTCCTGTTTAATATTGTCACTGTTGCATGCATCCTCGTGAGTGTTTAGTTGCACATTTATTTATTTATTGACAAACCATCATGACGATTGACACTATAATTATTCAGGTTGAGCCACTAAAATGTAAATTCTTTACTGTGATTAAAAAAAATCTTTCAGCAATTAACTTAAATTATGAACAGCTTTCCACCATTAAATCCTTGACAAATTAAAGATTTAAACTTGACCTGTTGTTCTCATTTATAAAAAAAAGTTTGACGATTTATTTGTTTATTTTTAGTGCTATTTTTTAGTCACTTCACTTGCTCTTGTCAAGGGCAGACACTTTCCCCCTCCTCTCCCTCCTCCACTTTGCTTTTGCTCTGTCCTGTCTGTGAAACTGCTTTAAAGCCTCTCTCTACATATCTTCCGAACCATAATTTTTGCTATGGATCTGGTCAGCTGGTCTCTCAGTGCAATTGATAACATTTTCTCGGTGAGAAGACAAGCTTCAGGTGAGCCAACTTGCCCTGATGACATGCACGCAGTTGGATATGTCATGGATTCCTGGAGCGATTGGAAGGTGATGTGTCTATCTCTGCTGTCTATTGGGATGTTGAAGACGCATATATAATTGGATTTATGATAATGGGTTTCCTGCTTTTTGGAATCGGCTGGTTCCTGGTCTATCAACAAACAAGGAAGTCTTCTGCAGCAAATGTGGCCCTGGTCAGTTCGCCTGCCTTATGTGATGGTTTGCTCCGTGCCTCGAGCACCCAGCCTCAATTGCTTTGCGACTTGAACACTGGCGGGATGGATCAGTTCTCGGGGAATACTCTCAGGCACAGACCACTGGTGTGTCCACTTAATTTGGACGTTTGGGATTTGTGAAGACCAGCAAAGACTCGAGGCGGACATAAATCAGTAAAGTTCTGCCTGCTCTCAAAACAAATATTGTTTAGCTGAATTCGGCTTCCCCAGCTGGCCTCGACAGTAGAGTTGCACTCGGTTCCAAATAATCCGAACCAACCTGGCCCCAGCCCACAGCCATCATTTCTGAACCCCACCCAATCTGACGAATTAACAGTAAT